GCCATTTCTAAGCAAATATAGAGTAGCTTGTACCCATAATTACTGTGACAGTTAAATACTAGCATTAAGATCTAATACAAGGACATGCAGGGTGAAATCCTGGCTTCACCAAAACTCCCATTGGCTTCAATCAAGCCAGGATTTCACCCTGTTTTTTCTACCCATCTTTCATGGGCCATGCCTGAGGTATATGGGGATATCATGAAGGGTCACCTTTAGGCTGGGAGAAAACATTTCTCTAAACATTTACAAAAATTATGGAGTCACTAGCCAGTTTTTCTTATACTCATCATGTATACGATTGAACAATATTTTACTTTTTCTCTAAGGGTGTGTCTACACAGCAAAGTTATATCTGAGTAATGGTCATTATTCCGAAATAACTATGTGAGTGTCTACACAGCAATTCCGTTATTTCAAAATAATGGATGGCTTATTCCCACTTCTGTAAACCTCATTCTACAAAGAATAACACCTATTCCAAAATAGCTATTTCAAGTAATACCAGGTCCTAAGTCAAGTCAGCCACTCATACCTTTTCTTTTCTTTAAAAAAAAATAAGATAATTATACTTGGGAATGAAAAAAAGGTTTAGGGAACAAATAAGAAAAAAGACAATAGTTTGGTTTTGATTCAACATACCTTCGTTTCAAGTTCATTGAGATCAGACTGACCCATAGCTGGCTCTGAAACCACTTTTTGAAGGAAATACAATGATTGCTTCTTACTTTCTAGTTCTCTAGGAAATTTTTCAGTGCACAGATATGAATTGAACTTTATCTCCTCTTCCAGTCTCTTCATTAAGCCTTGAAAAAAAAAATTGAATCAACATGCGTCTAAACAAAGGAATGTAGAGAATAATTAGGGTTCACTCCATAATAACTGTAATTTAACCAACACATCAAGTTATTTAACAACAGATTACAATAATTAGAGCATAATGCTTGAACCCTCTTCTCAAAACTGAAAGGAATACCTAGTTGTTTGATTTATACTTTAAATTCTGGTTATCTCTTTAAATAAGAATAACATGTAACATAGCAAACCACATAGGCTTTCCTTCCAAATTTTCTTCTTGAGGATATAACTACAATAAAAACCCTTCTTCAGTGAAACTCCATTAACCTGAAATTGGATACAGTCTCCAATTTGCAGTATTCACATGAAAAGTGTCACCATTCCCATTCAGACAAACACCAGGTTACCCATTTCATTCACAAAACTGGGCTATGTGGTACTTCTCTGTTATGTTAAAACTGATGAGATTTTGGACTACATTTAAGACCAAATTTAGCCTATGTCTACACTGCAGCAGAAAGTCAACCTAAACTATGCAATTCCAGCTTTATGAATAATGCAGCTGGAGTCAATGTACCTTAGGTCAAGTTACCCCAGGGTCTACACCATAGAGGTTGAGGGGAGAAACTCTCCCATTGACTTTCCTTACTCTTTTTGTCCAGGTTAGAGTACAGGGGTCAACTGCAGAGTGATCTGCGGTCAATCTGATGGGTCTTCACAAGACTCACTAAATCAACTGCTGGTATATCACTCTCAGAATGTCGATCCCCACTGTACTGTAGATGTAGCCATAGGCCACTTATGTGTATCCATCTTTGTATGTGTATTCAGAAAAAGAAGCGGCCAAACACAGCACCTGTCTAAGTGGCTTGCTCAAGGCTTCTCAAAACACTCACTCCTCAGTACTCCCAGGGCTGGAGCATCAAAGTAAGAATCTTGACATCACTTCTGTGCACACATAATCCTGGTTGCATGTGGATTATTTCAGCCCATTATGAATTATAGAGAGGTGAGGAAAGAAATCTCTGTCCACTCTTATTACCACTTCAGCACTCTTACTATATTTGACCCCCTCTCTCTATCTGTGACTCAAAACATAACCAGTCCACAATTTGACCCAGAATCTTTAATAAGCATTTGTAAGAGTTCTAATGTGGGCCTTAGTGAGTTTGGCAGTCTATGATGCCCTTGAGATTCTCATCTACAACAGGGTCTCTTTACATTGCTCTGGCAGTTACAAGAGCCAAAAAGTTGCAATTCATGCTCACTTTAAGTCTCCTTTAAACTGCCAGAGGGGTGGCCCATTCTCTTGGCTTAAAAAAAATAAAAATAAAATAAAATAAAAAAATCACATAAATTTACCTGGACTAAAAATACTGAAAATAAAAACGAAATATAAAGAGACAAAAAGAAACTGCTGAGAAAGATCAGAATTTCTGTCCACAGGTACAATAGAAGAAAGCATTGTTTGCTCTGTAGAAGCCTGATGTGCACTGCCCATTACCAAGCTTATGACCATTTTGTCCTTGATAGATATAGTAATTTATCCTATTTTCCTAATAATTCACAAAGGAACATTAATACATTCAGATAAGTAAAAATCACAACTAGTGGGTAATGACAGAGTAAACTAAACCAGCCATGAGATTTTTATCATTATTTTGTTCACTCTTCTGATGACAATAGGCGGTAATAGCTCAATTAGTTCCAGAGATGCCACTAAAGACTGTGATGTGGAAAGCATACACAAGATAATATGACAGTAGGGAGATAAATTTTATAATATTTTCATGGATTTGATGGGCACAAAAAAAGACTAATGGTATCGTAGCTATTCAAAGTACTTTAGAAGCATGTCTGTTGTTTTCATGGTTGTTACAGCTATTACAGAAAATGTTAAATTAGCTATGCCAAGAAAAACATTCAGACTCTGCCAGTTTTTCACTCATTCCACACAGGCATGGAAAAATTTGAGAGACTTGGATATGACTAATCTTGCTGAGACAGGGATGAAAATGTAGGGTGAGAGGGGAGAGACCAGAACTGGAGACAGCTGATCTGCCTTGTGATTCTCTAAAGCTGAGGATCTGAAGGCTTTACCATTAAAAACAATAGAGGGATCAGATCAAAACAAAATGAGAAATAGGCCTATGAAAAAGGATTGTGACCAATAATCCCTTTTTTCATTCATGTGGAAAATAAATTTTGTTATGTGCACTGAGGCATGTGCAGATGTGCACCAGTAGTAGAAACACAGGCTGTCAACTATGAGTGCTCTGCTAGTCAGCTGGGTGGCACCTGCATCTCTTTTGGGTGGCTTCCCAGGCAATCAGCGTATAGGAAACACTGGTTGTGACTCTCCTGCAGCTATTTACATCTGGGAAGTGGGGAGGGCCAGACCATCTTCATCTTTTTGTTCTCAAAGTTTTTTAGACAGAAGGATGGGCTCCTTATTTCAACTGACTTAAGGGAACAAAGGAGGGAACAGAGGAAAAGGCGTTAAAAACTTAAAAGAAAGAAAGCTGGCCCTAGAGAAAACAGTATTATTAATGAAGTAAAACTGACACATTCCAGAAGTGAGTGAATGCTTCATTTCCATTCCAGCACTTTATAAGGATTATTTTGTTTACACTGGCCATTTAAACACACACTTATATATTTCTCTACAAAATATATTGGCTTACTCTATGGAAAATGTCAATTATTTCCATGAAAAATAAGATACAATATATAAAATTGCCCCTTTAATGGTGATTTCAGAACTGAGACAATGTGTAGCTTCATGTAGTAGCTATTATGCAGGCAGCAATTACTCACCTGCCACCTTATCATTAGAATCTGGTTTACTGAAAGGAAATGTAGGCCAGCACAGCAGAGTTATGAGTTACTTTTTTCCAAAAATGCAGTGATTTTTAATTTTCACCAAGCTTTTCATCAGAGCTGGGTTCCTTCTTCCTATGATTTGCGTTACAGCAGAAACTCAGCACCTCTATAAGTGCAGCCACTTCTCCCACATACATAGTGTACTAAATTTTCGGAATCAGTACTGAATAGGAACATAAGCCCTGGCAGGGGATGTGTAATGATTACTCTTGGCCTGGAAACAAAAGTAACACCAACTGAGTTAAATGGAAACTAACTGCTATTTTTTTCATATTAGGCTGATTTTTAATTCTCCAACTTCTTTAATTGAAAGGGACATTACAATATATTGACTATTATAGAACCATAGAGTCCAAGGCCAGAAGGGACTATTAGATCATCTAGTCAAACCACCTATATAGCAAAGGCCATAAATCTTCATCAAAATAATTCCTAGAACGAATCCTTTAAAAATATATCGTTTGAATTTAAAAGTTATCAATGATGGGGAGTGCTACCACAAACCTTGCTAAATTGTTCCAATGGTTAATTACTTTCACTTAAAATGTATACCTTATTTCCAGCATAAATTCATTTAGTTTCATATTCCAACCAGTGGATCATGTTATAACTTTCTATGGCAGACTGATGAGCCCCTTATTAAATATTTCTTCCCCTTGTAGTACTTAAAGACTGTAATCAAGTCTTCCCTTAGCCTTCTGTTTGTTAAGCAAAATATACTGAGCTCTGAGTCCTATCACTATAAAACACGTTTTCTAATCTTTTAAGCTTCCTCATGACTCTCCTCTGTACCCGCTCCAATTTTATTAACGTCCTTCTTGAATTGTGGTCTTCAGAATGGCACACAGTATTTCAACAATGGTTACATCAGTGCTCAATGTGGAAGTCAATACCTTCCTATGCCCCTTGTTATGCATACCACATTTGTATTAGCGCTTGGCCAAAGTGTTATACTAGGAGCTCATGATCAGCTGATTATCCACAATGACCCCCAAATAGTACTACAGGTTGAACCTGCCTAGTCTGGCACCCTCAGGACCTGACTGGTGCCAAACCAGAGAAATTGCTGAACCATGGGAGGTCAATATTACCTAGCCTACCAACACTTCCACTGCTCACTAGGCTCTTAGAATACATTTAGGGGTAAAACAGAGCTAAACAACAACATGTAACACAAAGAGCCAGGACTGGTGACTGAAAAATTTTTTTATGGGACCACAGGAAACTCGGCCACACCAGTGATAAGCAGACATCCAGCTAATTAAAATCATGCCAGACCACAGATGTTGACGGACCAGAGAGTGCTGGACTAGAGAGGTTCAACTTGTACTTTATATCTAATGCAATTTACTTCTTTGCAATAAGGCTATACATTTCTAAATATCCCACTGTGCATATGGTATTATAAATGCTAACCAAGCATTCCAAGAGGAGCAGAAACCGACTAGCTTCAAGGGGCTATGAAACTGCTGGTATTTGGGTTTATTTCTCCAACAATCTGATAACTGTTACCAACTCAGTTCTAAATTTTGATTGTTCCCTGAATGCTCCTGAAGATACTGTAAAGGAGTGAAGCAAGTAAAATCTTGACAACTTGATGGGAAAGTGCAAACAGAACACAGATGACTAACCTATTTGGTTTCCTTAACAAATAATTTTGGAATATTGTACTCTGTAGGATTAGACATATGGGAAGTAGCTCTCTGAATGCTATTTTTACAGTTTAACTAAAACTTTTTTTAAACAGTGTTTTTCAATGAATCATGTTTTGTTCAAATTCCCAGGCTAGAAGGCAGAGGAACAAGTGTATTTTAGATCTTTCCATTACATACTGTAAAACCGTGTTTTTAATTTTTTCAACTCTGACTTTATTTCTCTCTCCATACACAAGATACATAGTAAGTTTGGCCCAGTTCCCAAAGATTATTTTAGCTAAATTCTGCCAACTACATATTTACACATGAAAAACTATTAACAGCAATTCCTCATGTTTTCCATTCAGATATTTTTTATTACAGGAAAAGGCTAGGCGAAGAATTATTTGCTCAGTTATGCAGGAATTAGGCACATTCTTGCCATAATTCTACTAATGAACATAAATTCAAACTTGATTCAACTCTCAAACTTTTAGTTCTTTCCAAACTCTTAATTTTCCAAATTTCTACCATTGACACTTGCAACATTAACCAATCTGATAAAAAAAGAAAAAGAACAGAGGAACACGCAGTTAGTGGCCTCCTGCCAAAATTTAGGTTTAAGTGAGTTGTTCAAGATCATATAGGTAAACCACTGCCACTGATGGGAGGTGGTCTAAAAGGGGCATCTGCCACAGAGCCCAGCAATTTAAAAGAGTCCCGGGCTTGCAGCTGTTGCCACCACCACCACCACTGGGGGAATGGAAGCAGCTGGTGCCTTACTCCTTTAAATTGCTGCCACAGCTATGGGCAGCATGGGCCAAGCATGCTGAAGGGCTATCTGGCTGATAAGGGAAAGCTAGATCCCAGGTCTTCCATCCCAGCCCATGCTCCTAGGGGCCCAACAATTCTATGGGCAACCCTGAGGAAGTCCATGACTTAAGCAAGTCTATAACTGGCTTATACCTTAACCATAAGATCCCTTCTCTTCCTGCAATTCTCCATCTTGTTCTCTACACCACTTCCAAGTTCTTTTATCAGATAACCCATGGATGCCACTTCCACTACATAGCCCTAATTCATTTCCTGACAGCCACCCACAGTATGCACTGATTGAGGCAGGGATCCCATGGAAGGAAACCGTATATACTCATGCAATGAAAGACTGTTATAATGAATGCACACAAAAGGACCAAATGGAGATTGTGATATTTCCTAACTTTTGAGTGCTTAAGTTAGTAACATAAATAATACGGTACAATAACATTTTAAACATAGATTTTTTTTTTGTTTTCTTTACTGCTTCTTTGAAAGTATTTTAAAGGAAAAAAGGTAAAACCAAATTTTAAAATGTGAAACAGTAACATTGTCCCTCATCATGCATCAGTGAAAGATTTTAATTCTGAACTTACATCACTGACAGCACAGCTTCAGCTACAAGACTAATTATATTAGCTGGCAACAGCAGACAGCTGTTATCCCCAAGGGGAGGGTGACCTAGTAGAGAAGGGATGGGCAAAAGGTGGCTAGTGGGCCAAATATGGCCCACCAAGCTGCCGGATCTGGCCCACAGCCACCTCACCAGACCCTTACTATAAAGCAGCTAAACAGCAGTTTGCTAATTGCTCTGTAAGCTGGGAAGGGAGGAGAAAGCTTTGTGTGTTGTCACTGCACCCTATGGGGAGGAGAAAGCACATGCTGTCCCTGCCCCCTAGCAAAATCTGCAAGCTCCCATTGGCCAGTTTCCAGCCAATAGAAGCTGACATATTTTGCTGAAGTCAGGAGCAGCAAATGAAACCTCCTGGCTTCCTCACTCCTCCTTTTTTCCTCCCACCCTCCCTCTCTGTTCTGGAGCAGAGCCAGCAGCCCACAAGAATGGAGTTTGCAGAGTTGTTGGCTGGGAGCTGTGTAAGTAAGTGCCTCCAGAAAGATGGTTCCTCTGGCACCCCACCTCCTCTCCCTTCCTTAACTACCTGCCCCAGGCCACCACCCAAACCCTCTGTATCCCCTCTTCCTACCTCCTCCATGTCACAAATACCTCCCAGACCCTTCACCTCCTCCATCCCTCCCCTCAAGGCCAGAATCCTCTCCTGCACCCCTAACCTCTCCTGGAACCTGCACCCCAAATCCATGCCTCAGATTATAACCCCTTCCTTCATCCACAGTTCCTTTCAGACCCCACTCCTTCTCCTGCACTCCAATCCTCTGTCCCAAGCTCCCTTCTACACCCCACCTTATCGTCCAAGAGCCCACCCCCCCCCACAGAAGTGCGGCCCTTGATCATTTACCAAAATCTTGGCATGACCCCCCCCCAAAATTCTTGCCCGCCCCATCCTTGGGGCTTGCAGAGAGAGGGGCAGAGCTGGGGGACCCCTTCTGCTTCTTTGTCTTTGAGAGGCTGTCTCCCTAAAGGATCCCAGTACAGTGCATGTGATTTTAGCTTTGGTAGTGGCATGGTTAGGGATGTTAACAAATGTGTATTTGGATAAACCTGTAACTGCTCGTTTTTTTAGTGGGTACACATTTACACGTGGCGGGGGGGGTTGGAGGAGCTGGTGTTTGTGGGGAGCTGACTTTTACGAGCACTAGCTCCTGCTACCCCATACTCCTGCTGTCTGTGATAGAAAGGCAGCAGCATGAGGGGCAGGCAGCTCCAGAGGAGCCAATATATGCAGGGAGCCAGCTTGAAAGCCACTCCCCATGTGTACCAGCTCCCACCAGCCCCCTTCCTCCACACTGCTGCTTCTCTATCAGAGGCAACAAACAGCACATGAGTTGGGGGCTCCTTCCTGCCCCCTTTCCCGTGCTGCATCCTCACTCAGCATGGCAGGAGGGAAAGAATTGAGACCTGTATTTATTTTGCTTGGGATCAATGTTGGGCTGACAGGCCTATCATTACATGGGTTATTTGGTTGCTCATTTTAAATATTGCCACAATTTTACCTTCTTCTAGTCCCTGCAAATTTCCCCGGTTTCAAAACCTAATGATAATCAAAATTAACAGTCCAAAAAAACACCTGGACAGAAGTTACCTGAAACTGCTATTGTAAAATATCTAATTTTATTACCCGTGTTTAACACCCAAGTAGCTCTTTGAATGAAAAATATGTAATCATTGTATGACATGCTGACGTCATCTGGCTTTTTCCCAAATACAGAACACATATTTCTATCTGCCTTTTCTGCATCATTATTGACAATTTTACTATTTCCATCTTTGTTCAAATACATTTTGTTATTACTTGAAAAACTTCTTACTATCCTTAATTCTGTTGGTCATTGATTTTCTCTTCTGTTCTTTTATTTCCTGTATCAATTTTCTATTATTCTTATCTTTTAAAATTGATATTCATTGTTAATTGTTCCTCTTTCCATTTGATATACATATTTATTTTTTATAGTTCTTTCACTTCCTTTTTCATGCAAATTGTTTTTCTAACTAGGGTAGTGTTCTCTCTCTATTATTGGACTTCAGACTCGAGCAAACCTGAGTAGAATTTCATGGGCCAAAGAAAAGACTTGTCTCTGGTTCAAGGGATGCTAGAAACTCAAAAAAGAATGTAAGAAACTTTTTTACAGCATATGCATAGCTACAAGCTCCTCTATAACAAATAATAAAAATACACAAAGCAAATACGTTAACTGTAAGAGTTATTTTTCAATAAGTGTCAGTGTTTTCTCTTATTTCTGCATCATTTTTGTATAAGCAAAAATCAGTCCATCTGTACTGCAAAAGTGGGCCCAAAAAAATAGAAGCAAAGGTTGAAAATCTGGCAAAAACAGGGTAATGAAAAATTAAGGACTGAGCTTTATAATCTTCTTATATTTCTGAATTGCAGCACATACTGTATATGCCAACTAGACCATTGTCAGAAGTATCTGTGAACTGTCTAAGCACAATGGGGCACATTAAGTACACAATTTCAGCTTTTAACTAATAATTTATTTGATTAGCAGTCCAATCTTGTTTCAGATAAAGTCAATGGGAATTTTGCTACTGACTTATACAGGAGAAGAATCAGATTCTACATGAGTTTAAGATATCAGGAGCAAATCCACCCTCTGCCTCTACAGCCACACATTACATAAAATACAGCAGGACTGGTAGGTACAGTTCTGTTGCATGAGGAAATTTGAGTACTCTGTGACTACTGCATATCTGTGTTCTGTGGTTTTGATCTAATGCCCACTGATGTCAACAAAAGATTTTCCACCAATTTGATGGGCTATGAATCAGGTCCTATAAAAGTAGTGGTGCTGTTCTGCTATTAAAGTAACATCTGGGAGGAGCCTGTCTTTATCCCCTCTTCCAGCGGCCAGAAAAACTTCCTGAGCCAAACCCACTTCCTTAGTCTGTACAGGATAAATTAAGAAAACAACAACAAATGGTCTGATAGCTCTTTATAGATTAACAAAACATATAGATGCTATCATGAGCTTTCGTGGGCACAGACCACTTCTTCAGATAACTGGAGTTTTGAGTTTAAGATGTGCAGACCCAAAATAAATAGGGGAGAAGGGAGATAGGGGAAGGAGGAAAAAAAGAGGAGGGGGGGTAGGAAACAAGGAGCAGAAGGTATGAAAATATCAAAGGGAAAAACAAGTAGGCAGAACTAACTTAGGGTAGAAGTAGAGACCCTGATAAGAATTTGAATCTATCTGTATTGTCTTTTCTATTTAATTTCACGTTTTATTCAAAAATAATGGTAAAAAATAAATGTACCCTATCCAAATGTTACGGGGACATCTGCCTAATTTCAATGCAAGTGTATGAGAAACCTATTAATATAAGGATTTATTTGTCGACACCAAATCACTCAGCTCTTTTAACAAACCTCTGAGAAACAAATTTCAATGTGCCATAGTGATCTTATTTCTTTTTAAAAAACTACCTCTTCTCTTTAATTGTGGACAAGAATTTATCCTATGACAAGCAACTTCTTCCCTAAGAATTTAGATGAAGTAACTTCATTGAAACAAATACAATGCATTTATAACATAGGATACAAAGTACTGCTTCAATGATCTTTTTAAATGAAATTTATTTAATAAGGGCATCTTATGTTTGTACAGAGTAAGGTTAAAAATAGGACATGTTATATGAAGCAATTCTACTTTTACTGATCTTTTAAAGTGACTACCCTTCTGATTCTATTACTATTTATTAATATGGCCAAGTGTATCAATTACCAATTGTATTGCTTGTTAATAACAGGCATCTTAACATATACTTTTAATCAATATTTTTACAGCCAGTCATCCACATCCCAGTGTCCATGCCAATGAAATGAACAATAGTGTTCTCTACAGTGGACAAGGACCAAGAATTTAAGTAATTCAGTTCCCTTCTTGGCAATAACAATTTGTATTTATGCCAGCAGAGATATTAAAAGCAAATTAAGGACAATCTTGCTGAGAAAGCATGAGTTAGATTTTTCAGACCACTCTGTCTGCTGGCCACCATCAATAAAAATACTATGTCATATCCTAGGCAAAAAATTAGAAACTGCAAATTCATGGCACTTACTTTAGTAGTAACAGCAACTGTCTTTAAAATTAAAGAAAATATTAAATGCTGAACTCAATGAAACTGGGATGGGTTGCCATAGTGAAATCAAGAACAGTCATTTCCAAACACATAACAAAAACCTATATTGACCTATAGTTCAATAGTCAAACATTTTTCATGGTGCATCTTTTAAAATCACTTGCCCCAACTACATTTCTAGAAGAACAAAACCTCTAGTAACAACCAGCTGTAATATTTTCCTGGCAAAGCTAAAACACACTAATACTAACAGAAAATTAACACAATAAGAAACAGTGACTTAGTTCCATGATTATAAACTTTTCTTAGTATTAAATTTCATTTTAGTTTATAACATGAGATATATCTACTCTTCAAGCAGGGGAGTGCAATTCTCAGCTGAAGAGCTTGTACTAGCTCTCATTGAACTAATGCACTAAAAATAAGAGTGTATCCAAGGCACAGACTAGCTGTGCACCTGAGACCCTATACATGTACTTGGGGCAGCTAGCTCATCAAACTGCTCATGCTGCCATGGTGACACACATTATTTTCACCATATCTTGATGATAATGAGATGAGAGCTAGAGCAAATATGTCTCCTCTGGGTGGGAGTTAAACCTCAGCTTGAAGCACTGATGTATCCATGGAGAAAAAGCAATCAGTAGCATTTCTTACAAAGACGTACAGAATGCTCCCAATAAAACACCTGCTAAAGAGCAACATTCACGAAACAGATTTTCCTCTTTCTGTTAGAAGTGAAAGAATCTGATACAGGTTGAAAACTGAGGAGACTGATTTTAGGGGAGAAGATACCAAACCTGCAGTGAGACTCCACTGCTTTCAGACAGCCTTTAAACTGACAGGGATTTGAATTGGTAGGAATAGGCATCCTGTTTCAAAGAACTGGAGCCAAACATTTTTAGAACTTTTAAGAGGTCTTAAACATACCAACAAAGTTTTTTAAATAAACTAAACCCCACTTAATGCCGTTAGTCATCTAATTTAATTTTAAACCACATTTGGTACATTATAATTGCTCTGGGGAGCAGTAACTTTGCTTCTTCCCAACACAAAGTATGATGGATAGGAGGAGTGATGGCCAGCACTCAGTATCTAAAGGTTTAAACTCAGGTAGCTAAGGGTGTTTGCAGTGAGCCAGAAGAAACAATGGGATAAGGTGCTGAAAATTAAATTGTAAATATATACCTGCCTGCTCTCCATTGTGTGAGTTCTTAGTTAATAGTTGGAGGAAGCAAGATGAAATAATCAAACGGAATTACCATACCTACAAGAAATATTGGGCATGGGAATGGACTAGACTTTGGAGTACGGATAGTAAGCAGAATGGAGAAATGTATGTTTAGTTGTGATCAGGGTATTTTTCTTTATTTTGCTGTTTGGTTAAACTTCTCTATGTGAAATCCATGTTCCTACCTTCTCTCCCCTTCACTTTACTCAAGCTATTCTAGAGATACCATTTTTCTCTGTGTTTTAATCTGCTTTTTTCTCAGTTGTTTTGTAAAATCTATCAACCAAGTATGCTTTATCAAGTATATATTTTTGTTTTGTTAATAAAATCGCCTTTTTAAAGGTGATTGTTTGATTCTTGTGTCCTGAAAGGTAACAGGTCTCTGTGTGTGTCTATCTAGGCTGAGAGGTCAGCTACTATAGATTTCAGGTTTTTTTCGGTTTTGTTTTTCAACCTCTCTTGTGGTAAGAGCTTGGAGTACTCCTCTGGAAGAATTTCAGGTGATTCTTCCTGGGTTTTAAAAGAAGGAGTTGGATACCTGATGGTGGCAGCCTATCTCCCAGTTTCAGTGAATCTGTGACTCTGGAGAGTTTTTGTAAGCAGAGCCTATAAAAGCAAGGTCTTTTAAAAGGTCTCTTGTGGGCTCCCACCTTCTGCACTTGGAGTGCCACAGTGGGGAGCAGCCCTGACAAGCTACAATTAGAAACCCAAATCCCGGAGCCTCAGTCAAATCTTCAGTAGGGTCTTTACTTAAGTAAGGACTACATGATTTAGCCCAGACTCTTTAAACACTTGGTTCTCTTTTGTAAGCAAGGCCGAAAATGTTCTATCTCAATATATTAACCTACTCTGTGTTTTAATCTCAGTGATAAAAAGACAGGTGTATTGAATTTTTTACAGTGTTGCCTTTGCTTCTGTAATCTAAAATAATTGGACTAAAAAACAAAACAAAACTTGGAACTGGTACAGAAATGTTAACATAGCTTTAGCATGGCAACATCTCTGGCAGCTAAATACAACTACTGAAAAAATTGAATGATTACAAAAACCCTACAAACTTCTTTTGAGTCATGTAATTCAGAACCCTTTTTGGTTTCATTTGAAGTTCACATGCTGATCCTGCATCCGGATTTAAAAAAAAAAAGTTTGCAAATCATGGCTTCATCAGCCCCCAAAAAGTCTGTGCAAATATCTTCTCCACTATATTAAGAGGATTTTTTAAAAGACTTAAATTAAGAAATGAGGGCATTAATCTCTTCATTCTGTTCACATTACAATATACAGGTTCAATTTTTATATATTTATTTTAACAGTAGGTGAATTAGATCTCGTTTCTACATCTGGTTTTGTAACAGCTATGATCAGTTTTCTATCTCCTTGATATCTGACTATGCATGTTTGGTAAAGGAGACAGTATATTTCAAGATAACAAGAGGGCTGCAAACTAGAAGCCCTCTTTTTTGAGAGAGGATTTGGTGGCCTAGAATTTGAACCAAATGATTCATCTATATGCAGCTATTAGAACATTTAAAGTATCTAATGGGCAAGAGCAACACTTTATTTGGCAATGCACAAATCTAAACACAGCCCTGATTCTGTTATGTGCATGAAACCCTGAATGTGTGCAGATCTCCAATGATCTAACAGGGCTTTACATGGAAGCAGAAGCCCAGGAACAGTGGCTGGATCTAGGCCATACCTTTCCATGGCTAATGCCATTTGCACCTTCTACTGAACCTTTCATCCTAAAAACGCAGGCTGAAACTTATCCCAGGAAAAGGGACAACTCAAAGTTTATGATCCACTTAAATCTTGTGCTTTCCGTCTTTCCGTCTATACAGAAGTGAATTTCATTCTCAGTGATTGTAAAACATTAATATATTAAACCTTTAACCAATCCTTTAAGGTGTTATCTTCATAGTGTAAAAGAGGAAACCAAGACACTGAGAAGTGTTTTGCCCAAGATTACATAAAAGTCAGACCCATAGATGGGAGATGAACTCTGATTTGAGTCTCACTTTTGTGCTCCAAGCAGACTTGCTTTTTCCTTTAAATGACTAATTAGAAACTTAACATCATACAAGGATTGCTTCAGGAGACAGAATTAACAATGCATATATGATATCTCTCCATGATTTTACTGTGAGATGAGTTGTATAATCACATTGAGTAATACCTTAGTCTGTGAGTAATTCTATTGATTTCATTGTGGCTATTCAAACACAGAGACATATTCAATATGATGAGTAAGGGTGATAAACTAGTTCACAGGTCTCAAAGTCATGGCCTAGGAGCCATCTATGGCCTGAGCAGTTCCACAATCCGTCCTGTGCATGGGTGCTGACCCTTGAATTTTTGTGACTCTGGGGGTGTTTGTACACTTCCCCCAAGTGAAGCCCCTGATCCACCTCTTCCTTTCCCTGCTTCTCCTTCAGCCCCCTCACTGCACCCTTTCCCTCATGCCCCCATCTCCCGAGGGACACAGCTTTGTGGATTACTGGGACGCCTGAACCAGTGCAGCAGCAGGGTTTGGAGCCCCTTGCACTGACTGCATTGACAGGAAGCACAACGCCTCAGACCCAGCACAGGCTGGTTTGAGAGATGGTAGTGGAACAGAGCAGACAGCTGTGTAGTTCCATTTCCTCACAGGTCCCACTTCCACAGTAAGTACCGGGGGACCTGACCCCTGTTACAGTCCACCCAGGGCTAACCTTAGTAAGGGGGACCACACTATCCATAAGATGGTTAAAGAAGGCACTGCAGGGGCCCCCAAAGTGCAAGGGCAGCCACACCAAATCCATCCTATGGATGGGATGACTCTGCGCACATCTCTGGCCCACAGGGACATTCTGCTCTAGCCTTGCTGTGCTACTGATGATAGCACCGAGGGGGGGAAGGAGTGTTAAACTGGAAGGGGAGTGTGTGGACCAGCATCCAGGGCTAGAAAATACAGGGGTGACGAGGGTAACACATGGAGATCCCTCCACCTGCCCCAAGCCCTGCCAGAGAGGAATCCCCAATGGCCCACTAGCCATAAGGTAAACTGAGTTTGACACTCCTGATCTAGTCCGATAAAACTACATGGGCAACAATTGCATGTTAAGAACAAAGCACCACATGCAATTTGTATACTGAGAAACAAATATAATTGCAAAGTGGCTTTATTTCAAGTTTCATAAAAGCTATAGTGCTAACCCGCCCTAACAGCTAAAAAAAAGTTTCAGTATTTTTTTTCAGCTAAATATTTTGTCAAATGAAGGGAACTACGGAAAACAAGTCTATATTTATGTTACAAGTACACGTTCATTTCTGAAAAAGGCAGTATTTTATACATTTTCTTCTCCAATCACACACAATACACATAAAATTTTCTGATTAAAAACATAGTTTGTATTAAATCCATCAACTTTTACATCACTGGTCATTTTTACTTCCAGTCACCTCTCTTTCTAGTTTATAATCATTAGTATTGAATATTGTATTCTTAAAATATTAAAAAATTAAGCCACCAAAGCATACACATGCCTAAATAGAGACATTCATGTTGCTATTACACTAAACTCTCCCTCCTCACTCCATTCTTCTCTACTGTTTGTCTCCTTCATTCTTTGCTGTGCGCCAGGGCTGACAATTTCAGATTATAAGCTCTTCACTGAACAAACAGTTTCTTTCTTCAGCTTTTCTGAGGTTCCTTTCTGGCACTTTAGGATAATAAATAACTACCAAGCAACTTTCATTCTTTCTGAATCTAGCACCAAGAGAAGTAAAAAGCAACATTTATGGATTGCTACTTACTTTCAGGCTTTGAATCCACAACAGCATGTTGCATATCTTTCAGCTGGAGCTGTACTCTTTGCAGCCTCTGGTCTGCATGGAACAACTTAAAAAAAACAATTGACTTTATCCATACATATATTCATATGAAATGCAACAAACTATATCAATAAGATGCCCAAAATACAAAAAAGATAACAGTTTGCACCTAAAGAACATTTCTTCCACAAGACAAAGTTGGACATCTCTTATCTGGCACCTGGGGACCTAACTGGTCCCAAACAAGGGAATTCGCTAGATCAGAGAAGGTTCCCTGCCACAGCCCTTAGCCTCCGACTCTGCCAGCTGGGATGGGGGGAGTGAAGAGGCAGGGGACTCCCCCCAGCCCCGGCCGGGCTGCCTGCTGGGT